AAGATAACTATTTCTTACTTTCAAGCTTTATGAAACTTCCCGCATTTATGATTATATTTATCGATATAACTTATGTACAAATACAAATTTGTAATATTCCACAGGAATAAATAAAACAAACTATTTTATTAATAATGACACTTACCAAATTTTATACCTTAAAGGTTGATTAATTAATTAACTTTAATCTTAAGTTTTTTAAACCAGTACCTTTTGACATTATTTTTCTGCAGTACTAAAATCCATTGTTTACCTATCGTGTGATGTCGATATTTTACAGCTACTCCAGTTTTTAGTATGTGTTTAGTATGGTCCTTACTGATTCGGTAATTAAGAATTCGAGATGCACTTATCTACGACGAGTATATGGTACTTATGGTATACGAACTTTATTGATGGTGACTTTATTGGTGTATAAGACTTTCTGCCTGGACAGCGAGTATTAACCATAAACTGTGCTCTGGGTCTCCAGCTAATTTTCACTCGATTTTTCCTCCACTTGACTTCAAAAGACACAAAACACACGTAATAACACGAATCAAAATGCATCATCTTGCAAAACGCAGGGTATTTGACAAAAGTTGACACAAAATTATAACCTATAATTTGGCAAAACTTTGACAAGCGTCAAAAATCTAAAGGCGAGTTCATACGCATCGGCGTCCATTTGTCGTTCATCGTTCCGTCAAACCAATAAAATTGAAATACAATCTGTCATTTTTAAAATAAACCAATAAAACTGGTTAAATACAACAAGAGACGACGTATGACGGATTTATATTTAAACCCATCCATAGTTAACTTTTTTTAGCAAAATAAATAGATTGGTATGGGACGTCATCTGCTTTTCTTCTGTCATTGTCTGTCGAAATCTTACCTGAGAAAAAAAACATAGTATACTTTAACCGCAAGGGTAGATTAAATGATAGTTTAACAGCGAGGATAGGTTAAAAACTTTATTTCTTCTCGCACGTTTTTTAATTGCTTCCATTTTTGAAAATTTTTGTATTCCTTTTCATAAGTTATTCGGGATTTAAATGGAAGTAGTTTGGATATGGCGGTTGTCGCCTCAGCCTGAATATCTGTTGGTAATTTACTTATTTCGTTTTGAGCCATTTCTGGCTCCAATTCAATCAGCAACCGACACGAAAGAGAATTAAAAAATATTGACTTAAAACTGACAACTAAAGAGACAGCTTTATTTATTTGTCAAATTACATAGAAATCAACGCCAACCCAGCACAATATTTTTTCTACTCGTAATAAATTCCTTGAAATAATATTTCTGCGTAAATGAAAAACTATGTATATAGATTAACATTAAATGTAAATTTTAACAAAGATAAATTTTGTAGGGCACTTACATAGATAGATTAAACAAATCTCATACATTTTTTTTGCTTATACGATCAACAAAAAAACGAAAAGTATTATTGACAAATTGTTTCTTATTGAGGTGTAATAAATATAGGACAGGAACGTGATCGGGGCTGTGGGAACCGATGCACAGAACCCATTCCCAAAGTCTGACGTTTTTTCTTCTCAAAAATGACTGTCATAAACGTCTCGACCCGTCAATTGATTCGGGTACTATAGATGAACAGGTACCGAGGAAGTAACAACTATAACGCAGGTCCGGTGCAATAAAATGCAGATTTTTACGGAAAATAAATGATGCTTCGAAGGAGGTCTAGCGTAGAAAAGTTCCCACGGTGAAATATTTGTGCAAATGAATTTTGAAAAACGGGAATATCCTAATAATCAGCACATATGACGATCACTGATGGTGCATGGTGCATGGACGTAATCAGACGTAATGATCAAAACTTCATATAACTTAAGTTTTATTAGTATGTGTAGACCTTATCTTTAAAGTTGTTATTTTATTTTAAGCATATGCGTACCGGTCTCCGTCGTACCATTTTGTTTTGTGTTTTTCAAGAAAATATATGTCTTATAATTAGATAGGTAAATATGAATACCGGGAACAAAAAAAGAACATTGAAAAGGATTTAAGCTGTTTAATAATAGTTTATCCAAAATAACAATCATATATTTAACGTTTCTTAAAATGTTAAACATTTAAAAAAAAACGAAACTGATTGTTCACAACATTGTGAAAACAACTCTGTGGAAACATTGTGAAAAGAACTTTGTGGAAAAGGGTTATAGGACAGACCCTATTGCGATGAAAATGGAATCGCAATACGTTTTAAGCATAGAGGAAAACATCTTAATTCGTAAAACATCGATAATAGATATTCCCTGCAACTAAATTTTCTGTGTCTCTTACAGGGGCGGATACAGAAATTTAATTTAGGGGGGGGCCAAATAAAAAATAATGCAAAATATGCCTTTAAGGGCGCCATTTTTAATCCAAAAGCCTAATATTTAACCCAATTTACAGATTTTAGAGGGGGCCCGAGCCCCATGGGCCCCCCCTCTGTATCCGCTACTGGTCTCTTATTATATCTTTCCAAACCAGATACCACATAGGTATACACCACCTATCGCACTAAATGTGGTAAATTACCTAGGTAGCATAAAAATAAAACCTTTTACCCTAAATTTCTATAACCCTTGTTTTTCAGCCCTAGATAAAAATAAAAATAAGTTTAGTCTCTCCACTCTTCTATATTCAGTACCGCACGTGTCGTATGTCTAGAGATATTAAATGTAGTAGATAAAACGCTCAAGCTGTACCAAAAATGTGCCTACATCAAATAATTCAAGTAGTCAACATTCTTTCCCACATATTCTGATGCTTTGGCCGTTATATCTTCCTACAAGATATTTCCTTTACTAATAGCTGTGCTATACAGACCGGACCACCGTAGTAGTAACATAGGCAGAACCGGACGAATTAGCGTATACCCGTCCGCCGGATAAAAAGCAGGCGAAAAAATGCCATAAAATAAAAATAGGTAGATATGTGATAAGAATGTTTCAGAATTCGTATTTATTCGTGTTTTAATAGCCAAAACGAATACATAGATTCTCGCGACAGTTCTTGTGTAAAATTTATTTTTTAAGTAAAATAATGGATGTTTACGAAGTTCGTGAGAAAATTCAAAATGTAAAATGGTATTTCCAAAATAGGTCTTATCGGGATATACAAACAATTTTTCTACAAACTTTTGTAGACAGGCCAATTCCATCTTTACCTACTGTAAGTACTGTATCAAGAGTTATTAATAATTTTGAAACACATGGGTGCGTGTTCCCACAAAAACAAAAAAAGCCTGATGTGTAGATTAATGAAGAACAGGAGTTAAAACAAGTGTTCATTTGTGCTACCGCGGATCAAAATCCCACGTTTTCAAGTAATTAAATTGCTGAGGTGGTTGTCCTGCCCACAATGCCCCTATTGTTCAAGAATATTTGAACAATACTTTTCCCAACCGTTTAATTAGTGGATATGGAACTATTTTGTGGCCCGCTAGATCACCAGATCTTTCTCCCAATAACTTATTTTTGGGGGGTTATGTAAAATCCAAAGTGTATGGTCATAATAGTGCTAATAATCTGGATGAGCTTCAAGTAAAAATACGAGAGGCTTTCCAAACTATTAGCCCTAATATGTTAGCCAATGTCAGACGGGGATTTTACGACCGCCTAGGCTTCTGTCTAGCACAAGAAGATGGTCTTTTTGAACACTTGTTATAACTTCTTTTTATTTAGAGTAATATTTTAGTTTTTTTTGGGTTTAGAGAATTTATTTATTTTTAGTTTTGGCTTGTAAACACACTCAAATAATAAATATTTAAGTATTTTCATTTTAAATGTTACCTTAAGTGAAGGTAAACACTTAAAATGAAAATAATAAATACTCGGCACTCCTCGAGTCGTATTCCTAGTCTGTCATGACCGACCCGTCCAAGCACAACTGCAACTGCGTACTGCCTAACCAGCCGACTAGCCGGCAGTGAATCTCGAGTACGAACGCAAAACGGGTAAACGTAAATTCGTCTGGCAACTTGCTATATTACTAGTAGCCTGGTCTTCTCTGTATATTTTATAACGATACGTGTCTCATTTATTTTTAATTTTAATTTTAATATAACAAGCTTTTAAAATATTTTCCATAGATAATTTACTCTTTTTTATCCATTTGAGAGAAGGTTGTTTAAATTTTCTGTTAAAAAATTAAATTCAACCACTTCCAAAATGCGTAAACATCTAGAAATAATAAGAAAAAAACTCAAATTGGTCGAAGGAATTTATCCTTATCATTTACTCTGATAAATGTTTAAATAAACTTTTCAAATTTCAATCCTTCATATTTTCTCAATGACTCGACCGATTTTCAAAAACGAGGCGGGGAAATATAGAGAATAGAAATCTCTTTTCATTGCGGCGCCACTTGACCCCCCTTCCCATTTGAAAAAAGTTGGGGATTGACACCCCCGTTCAAAGGGTTGAAGATTTTGCAATCTTTTTAGGGCAAAATTGCCCCCCTCACAAACAAAATTGACGTCTTTTTGGATTTTTTGAAAAAACGAATACCCTAGCCGTTATGCCTTGCGGAACGTTTTCGATGGGCCACCCTGTATGTTTCTTTTATCGAGATCTAAAAACCTAAAAATATTTGCGCTTTTTTAAGACTTACCCTGTAGTGTACCTTGTGACACCAAGATCTTTGTTGTTATAGCATATTGTAGCGAAACCATATCTTGGTAAAATGTTTTCGAAAGAAAAAGCGATTTATGTTACGAAACATATTATGTATCAAAAATGTGACAAAACTGTTTCGCAATGTTTCTTAGCAGGTATTTTGTGTCTAAAAATGCTACTTAAGTCTTTGACCAACTTCGATAGAACGAATCTAGGACGGGATATCTATATTTTCTAATGTTTCTGGGACACCGCGAGCAGCTGCCCTTATCGCGGGTATTCACACACGCGCCCTCTCATATACGCTCCGCCCTTTCACAAGCCCCTCCCATTCGGCGTTCATTCAGCTATTCCCCCCGATCTCCACACAAAGTCCCGCGAACCGATCCCCAGTCTGCTAGATCGCATACGCGTACCGGCGGGGATTTACGGGCATACAAAGCCCGCGCTTTTCAAATAATACAGCGCTCGAAAAAAATTGAATCCGACAAAGACGAATTAGGATCGAAAGAATAGGTACCTGTTACCTTTAAACAATCGAATTGTGCTGTATGTGAGCGTATAGTGACTACTACTGTAGAGACGTATGAAGTAGATATACGCAAGTTTATATTGCAAGGACTTATATTTTTTGTTAAAATTTGAATTTTTGTCGTGACACTCTGGGCCATATTAAGCTGCATATTGACGTTCGGCGGTAAGTACCTAGATAAATTTAGACACTAAGAACTATGTAAAATTATATTACAAACTAGCGTGTACCCGCGACTTCCTTCGCGTCGAATTAATCAATTGTAATGGTGATGATAAAGCAAAGCAAGAATTTTCATTGACATACAAACTGGATAAAATTTTCTCACGTTTATGTCAGCATGAGAAAAAACAATATGGCGATATTATTATATAACTTGGTAATATTTGAAGGGTAGTTTCATCTCGCTCGAAAAATCCGTTTGCCAAAAATAAGCTTTTTACGTCAAGCAGTTTAAGCGGAATCATGGTTAATCAATTACCCAACATTTTGAAACACCCAGTATGATTTTTTAAAAAAAATCAAAATATGTAAAAAAACAAAATAAATTATGCGTGTCCAAGCGTTTTCCCGAAAGACTAACCGTTTTTTAAATAACAAATATTGAAATATTTGAGGGGCGTTTTCACCCTCTTGGAATTTGAGATTCGGGAAACCCTTCCTTATCGAACCTCTACACCCCACACTCAATCCGTTTGCAAAAAATCAGCTTTAAACGTCAAACAGTTTAAGCAGAATTGTGATTCCTCAATGGTTATAGTTTATGAAACACCCTGTATATTTTTTTAAAAAATCTTAAAATATGTAAAAAAACAAAATAAAATATACGTGTTTAAGCGATTTTTTCGGAAACTTGACCGTTTTTAAAATAAAAAATATTGTAATATTTGAGGGGTGTTTTCACCCCCTTGGAACTGGAATTTCGAAATATCCCTTTTTATCGAATCTGTACACCCTAGAATCAACCTGTATGCCAAAATTGAGCTTCTTACGTTGAGTGGTTTGAGCAGGATCGTGATTAATCAGCGAGTCACTTAAGGATTTTACATATTAGTACAGACCCTGAGTAATTAAAATATGCCAGGGGTTATTTCTTAAAATTATTCTACAAAAAAATACAAAAATGGATATTAAAATTTTAAAAGCGTTTTTGTGAATGACATAAATATTGTCCATAGGATAATATCCATAAAGTTATTTGTGTTTTTCTTACTTCCTAAATAATTTTGAGTTAAAAAACCTGAGTTAAGAGGTTTATTATTAAAAAATTTTTTTGGATAGGTTTATTATTCTTAACAAGTGCGCAACTGGAATTGAAAAAAATGTAAAATACATTAAAAATTACTGTAAAAATAAATTCATTTATCATGGAATATCACATAAATATATATTTCTTCAATGAAACCCTAAAAATCGGCTTGGTGCAGTTCAGTTCAATTCAAACAATACCGACCGCAGCGCTGTACAACGGCAGAAATCAGAAATTTTCGCTATGCATTTCACGCCGCGCCGTCCCGGTTACAGTTCATGTTGATCGCATTAAAATAATATTAAAATCGTGGTTCTGTCATAATATTTAGTGTTTTAGTTTTTTGCTAGTGCAGTTATTGAAACTATACTTAAAACAGGTACGAGGTTTGTGTGAGGTAAAGCTGTTTCCGGTAGTAAAAAATAAGTTAAAAAGAATCCGAACTAGGCGTTGTGACAATTTCAAATGTTAATAAAATTGCCGAAAAAATGTTAACGCGTTTATAGGAGAGCGTAATTAAGGCGTTGTTGGGTGCAGTAACGTTCAATAACTCAACTTTCCCGGATATCCAGCTCTCCCGAAACAACATTTTATAGCTTCATAGTTTCTTACACCGGCTTAATCAAAATCAAAAATGGATTCAAGCAGATCGACGAAACAAGTGCCCGTTACATAATCAAAAAATGAAATAGACATATACTTACTATGAGCGGATAAAATATAATTTGCAATATTAATGGGATACTTTTTTTCAATCAGTTTGTGATTAAATGTTTTATGAACATCCTCTAAAATTATAATTATGTACCTTTAAAAAATTTCCTTGTAGCGGAAATAGCTCCAATTATGACCCCACTAGCAAACCTGGTGATTAAAACTATACTCGCTACCGTAGTTGAACTCATCTAAAAAGTTTTTTTTAGCTGGAATAATAAATTATAATACAAGTTAGACCTTCTGAAGATATCAAAATATTAACTTTTTTATTTTTATTTTTAGATTTTCCACAAATTATACTTCCTAACACTTTTAGAATAACTATTTAATAGATTTTTCGTATACTCGCTATTTAATCCCGCGTATTTTTATATATACCTGTTGTTTACGATATTCTCCGATGGTGGCAGCACCGGCGGAGAATGCACCAAGCCTATAGCTACCGTATCATCGAATAAAAACGCGTTAATTAAAAAAATACAAAATACTAGAGATGCAAAGAGTAACGCCAAATTTTATCAAAAAAATACACTCAGATGCAAAAAAACGCAACGGATAAATTTTTGGTCAAATTGAAAGTGTTATATTTTTGATATTTTTAGCCCTATTTTCATGAATTTTTTAGCAAGTTGTATATAATTATATCACCTTTTATTCGTAAACTCATTTTTTATAAACTTTAGTATTTGGCATATTATACAGGGTTAATCGAGGGGTTGTTTTTTTACTATAACTTTAAAACACCCTGTGCAATAATTTCGTGTGTAAATTTTCCTAAAATATAATTTTGCAGTGAGAACCATGTCTTCTGAACATTTTGGTTTTTGGATCATGTCAATACATGCCTTGGTTAATTTTTAAGAGCGAAATGAGCTTGCCACCAACAATTTGCAATTTTTTCAATTATCATTTCTTTTAGAAGTTATTTTTCAATATGACAAGGTGGCTTTGGTGATTATTGTGAACTTTATACTACTATGAACTGCCCATCATGTTCTACGTTTGGCAAATACTTGGCAGGAGGGTAAAAGGTCGCGAAACAGTATCAGATTTATTAAATGAACTTCGCTTGGTCCTTAAAGAAGAATGGGAAAACAACGCAATATGATATATGCAGCCTCAATGACAGTATAAACGGACGTATTCAGGCAGTAATAACGCGGTCCGCCCCGGGCCCCGTTTTTTAGGGGGCTTCCGAATCTTAATAAGTAATTTTTTATTCAACTGGCAAACAAGGCCAATATGTGTTCAGTAGTTATAAAGCAGTTTGTAGGTGGAGTATGCAAACCATACGTATACGCCAACTATAAACTGTATAAATGGAAGCAGATATTTACTTAATTATCAATTATCAGGCCCCAGTAATTATTGCCAATGGCATTTTCTATTAAGGAAATTAAATCAAGGGGCATTTTTCTTTGTTTAATATTTCGATAATAAAATTATTATTTTTTATATATTTTGAGACTCAATTTATTTATTTTAGCTTTTAAGTTATTTTTCAATGGTTTCATTATTTATTTTTACTGAATAAACATTTTAAATTACGACCAATGCACAGCATAACTTGTATTCTAGCTTCATTACTGATGATGAGCAGTGAAGTCTTTAGTATAACGGGGGCCACGGGCCTGAGACAGCGAAGGAGCCCCTCGGATCTTGGAGGACTTACAAAATCGCGATATTTTGTCGCGGTATTTCCCTGGAAGCATTTTTAAGAAAAAAATATTTAAAATTTTTGTACGAAAAAATTAACTGTCAAAAAAATTTCTACAACCTAAAAGACAAATTTAATGATTATCACAGCCCCTGTGACATAAAGAAAAGACATGTCGCTATCTATTTCAAAAATTAAATTGTTCAAATGTGTTATAATAATGGCGGTAGCTGTCATGGAATTGAGCGATTAAAAAATTATCATAAAAATTTCTTTTTCAAATGAAAACCCTTTTTTTATTTCACTAGTGAAAAGGGTTTCCAATTCGTTACGTTTTAACTATACATATTCCTATACCTAAAATAAATTGTTTTTAAATTATTTAAGATTTAGTTTGAAAACGTATATTTTTCTTGATTTTATCTAGCTTCCTTTGACATTAAGTGTCAGACAATTTATTTCCATCTGTCAGAAAATGAATTATTTGAATTTTCCATATTATAACTACTGCTGCCTTAAAAGTTTAAAAAGTGTATTTATATAAATATATCTCGTATTTTCGTTCTTTAGTGATATCTAATAGTTGATATTTCAATAATATACCGTACGAGCGAAAAAAAAACAGCGCAAAGTTAGCTGGAAATGATCGATAATATACTGTCATAGGCTACTGGTTAATATCAAGAAAAATATACGCTTTAAAGCTTAATCTTAAATAACTTAAAAACGATTTATTTTAGGTACAGGAACATATATAGTCAAAGAGTAACACATTTTAAAAACGAAAGTAACGAAAGCCTTTTCACGAGTGAAATAAAAAAAGTGGATTTCCATTTGAAAAAAAAAATATTTATGATAACTTTTTAATCGCTCAATTCCATGACAGCTGCGGCCATTATTATATGACATTCGGACAATTTAATTTTTGACATAGATAGCCACATGTCTTCTCTTTATGGTACAGTGGCTGTGGCAATCACTAAATTTGACGTTTAGGCTATATACATATTTTTGACAGGCAGTTTTTTTCCTCCAAAAATTATAAATTTATTTTCTTCTCAAAAACGGTTAACGTTAGGTATAGAGTGATTAATATCAAAATTCATAAAATTTTACAGAGAATATAAGTATGCAATAAAAAATGGGGCCACCCATTTAAAATAAGAAAGTTGCTGTCAACTTCCGGTACTTCCAAAAGTGCCGCCATATTAAAAATATTTTTAATCGATAGATCTCATTGTGAAACAATGATATGCACAAAATCTCGTATCTAGATATTGTAGTTCTCTAGAAACTTCTAACGCAGGCTCAGCCTGGGACACCCTGTATAAATACTTGAATTTTGTCAACCATTATACATACGTCATTCAATTTTTACAAAATGTGCATTAGAAGTACCGTATGATCGAATAAAAACGGCTTCAGCGATGGCTATGAAATGAAGATAGCTGTTATTTTATATGTATAATTATATGGGAAATGTCATCGATCTTCATTTCCAAGCCAACTGGATGCCGTCTTTTTTCGATCATACGGTATATC